AGTGACAGAAAAATGAGGACTTTGGTGGCCTAAGAGCTGAGAGGCAGCCTGGGGATGGAGCATACTCCCTGCACTGAGGTGCCTGATACCAGCTGTTGGCAAGGGCCTTGAGGGTGGTGGGCTGGAGGCTCTATTGGGTCCTTGGAAACAGAACAAGAGGCAGGTGAGGGTTTGATACTAACCCAGGAACCTCTCTCTGCTCACTATCATACATCTGTCCTGTAACCTTTCCAAGATGCTCATGCTATCTACTCCAAACCTAGATTGCAATAGAGGATGGAGTGGACATTACTGGAAGGACCACTGCTGGCATCCACTTCTCTGGCAGGGAAAAGGCCTTCTGACTAACCTTCCTATTGTCCCCTTAATCCCACCCAAGTCAAGGGCTCTCCTAGAGTTTGGATTGTAAGTCACTCTGAGAGTTCAGGGCCACCTCACCTGAGACAGTGAGCTCCACAGGGTCACTGCCATATGACAACAGATAGGGAGATGGATCTTGAGATCCATAGCACCTGTAGGTGCCTGAGAGGGCAGAGGTCACAGCACTCATGGAGAATTCTGCCTGGAAGTCCCAAGCTTCAGATTTTGATTTTAGTTGCTGGGGTTGTTGGGCTGCTCCCTCCTTGGACAGAATGAAAGTGTCCACTTTGTATGTTGACTGACACAGCAGAGTCACGTTGTTTCCAGAGTGTACTGTGGAGTTAGGCTTCACTGAGAGGGAAGGACTGAAGGGAAGCTGTCCTAAACAGAAAAGGGATGGTGAGAGGCTGCCTTCAATGTTCTGAGCTGACACCTCACCTGGGTCTGCCCTGAGCACCTGGTACTCTGTTTCTTTTCTCTGACTTAGCCCCTCTCCTGTTCTCCTGCCTCTACATCTCTTCCCAAATAAGATTCCTGTCCCTCATCCCAGCCATCACCTCCTTAACTCCCCCATGAGAACCCATGCACAGGTTAGGTATCTGAGGGAATCTATTTAGTTCCTCACCTGTGATCAGGATGTCCAGGGGGTCACTGGAGGCTGACCACTCAGAGGAGAGGTTGTGTGCACCATAGCATCTGTATTGGCCTCCAGTAGAGCTGCTCACAGGGCCCAGTATGAAGTTGGCCAAGGAGAGGCCACTCTGGGTCTGCTGTACACGATGCTGGGTAAAGTTACCTCCTTCTAACTTGTATAGTGCAAATCTGTCATAGTTGATGTCAGAGCAACACTGCAGGGTGAGGCTCTTCCCAGGGTCCAGGATCTGGCCTTGGTGAGTCAGTAAGGACGGCTTCTTGGACAGACCTAGAGGGAAGGTGACAGGCTAGTGATTGAGGAGCTGATTTTTACCAAATACTTACCCACTCTCATCCTGTGCTACACAGGTCACTTGTTCTCCCCAGGAGTGGGGCTCGGGCTCAGCCACCAGGCTGTTCCTCACCCATTCTCTATCTGCAACTACCCAGTGGGACAGGATTGGTCGTTGGTGGAGCTTGCTCACCTGTTATGTGTATTTCCAGGGGTTCACTGGGTACTGACCACATATGTGGAGTTTGGTTGTAGTAACTATAACATCTGAATGTCCCTCCATGGTCTGATGTTACATGATCTATAGAGAACAAGGCTTGGTACTGTATAATACTGGGTATAAACTGTGAGTTCAGAGAGCTGAGAAACTTTTGGTCATCCTTGGTGAGAACAAGTGTATCATATCCCTCCTGTGAGACACACTGTAGGGTCATGTTCTCTCCTAAAGTCACCACAGGGCTGGGCAGGGCTGTCAGTCTGGGTTTTTTGTGGTAGATTCCTAAGAGAGAAGGAGGCAGACTGTTACATTGGCTCACGCAGCCCCAGTGTTCTCAAGTCTAGACTGTGGGAGGGGAACATTCCTGAGAGCAGAGCCTGGGGCTGAGACCCTGACTGTCCCCTCACCTGTCACCACCAGTTCCAGGGTGTCACTGCGCTCTGACCAGCCAGCTGAGCTGTAACAGTAACAGCGATATTGTCCCCCATGTTGCTGTGTCACAGAAGGGATGGAGAACTTGGCCTTGTTCTCAGGCTTCTCTGGGGTCTGTGTGCCCCAGGGTTTTTGGCTTCCTTCTTTATGCAGAACATATATTTCTGCATCCAGGCTCCCTTCACAACAGATGGTCATGGGACTTCCTGAGGTGACCACAGAGCCTGGCTCAGCCTTGATGGTGGGTTTGTGGAGGGTCCCTGCAAGGAAGTAGGAGAGAAGGAGTTGGGTATGTTTGCCA